ATACATTTTTAACAAATATCATGGATTATTAATTCTTGACTTAATCATTCAATCATTTAATCAGATTTTGACATTTTGTGGCACCTTCTGTGATGCAATTTTCTGTTTGATTTAGCAAACAAGTCTATGATATTTGTAAAGAAATTGCTTCACTGACCAAAAAAATTTAATAAATAAATAAATATAAAATACTCAAGCTTTTGTTTTGATTATTCATTCATTTATTTTATTTTATGTTATTTTTCCTGTTTGATTTAGCGAACAAATTTAGAATATTTTTAAAGAGGACATGGCGGCGGTGGCAGCAACAATACTACAGCGAGAATAAAAGTTACGCCTTCTTTCTTTGCGTGAACATTTGGGCGGCGTTATGCAAATCTTCCCACATCGTGACGTAGACATGTGGGGGCGTGTTAGAACGAGCCATTTTAGGGGGGCGTGGTTGACTTTTAACTTTTATAAAGAATATCTCTTTGGATTTGAGACTTTAGTCTTTGCAACTTTACAGATCTTCTTTATGCACCAAGAGCTTGTAACACTCCAAAGAGAAAGGAAAACTTGAAATCGCATCATATGACCCCTTTAAAGAAACTACTTCACTAGCCAAAACAAACAAACAAAAAAGATTATCCAGACTACTCAACCTTATTTTTTGAGTAATTGTTTTAAGGTTTTATTCACCTTTAAATTTTTGAGATTGTGTCCCCCAAAATATATCAACATGCATTTTTAATTAAAATAAACAAAAAAAAACATATTCATTATAAAAGAGGTATACTCTATTATGCATGTATGAATAATACAGACAAGGCTTAAGCTTAGTCCCAGACTAAAATGCATGTCTGAGCTGTTTTAACTCTAAGGAACTTGCACTGACATATTTAAAAAATATATTAGTAGTACTATCAATTTGTCTCAAGAGCCACACCAGGAATGTTTATTTTTCTAAGGCACATTTATAAAAGCTACTTAAATGTCCTAATTGAACTATGGCCTAAACCTGGCTTAATCTAAACCCTGAAAGCAGGCCAAAGTGTTTCAAAGCAGCTTCACAGTAACAAACAGGAATACAATAACAGAATCAAACTTCTTCAGCATTATCCTGCTCAAGTCAGTTCAGTGTTCATTCACTTCAGTTCAGGAAATGTGTTGATGTTGAAGACACAAATGTACAGAACCAGTGTGAAAAGAGAGATGTTGCCACTGAACTTGAGTGTGCACTACACATCTAACCTCAAATGATGTTTCGTGTTTGTAGGATTCAAGAGAAGACCAGGGAGCTCCGAGAGCGACAGGCCAGAGAACGAGACTACGCTGAGATCCAGGACATCAGCCGAAACTTCAGCTCCGACGAGGAGCACACCTACGCCGGGATCGGCTCTCTGTACTCGTCCCTGGACAGCAGTATGGACCTGAGCCATAACCCCGGTCCAGAGCGTCCTCAGAGCCCCCGAGACCAGGCCTTGCCCTTAGAGGCTCTTTACGCACAGGTCAACAAGCCCCGCAACGGACGCCCTCCATCTGCAGACAGGTAAGCACTCACAGCTTCTCATTGCCAAGGACTTCCATCCTTCAAAATCGCCGTGACGTGATGCACAGGCTGCTTTTGTTGCTGAGATTTTGAGTGTTTGTCAGGACAGTTAAGCAATGCTTGGCTAATGTAACGGGACGGGATGTGACATGTTCTTGACTTGAAAGAAGCAACCTTGGCTATGTAATTGCAAAGCTTTGCATAATGTGAGCTAAAGTGTGTTTTCTCGCTGTTGTGAGCTGTCAAATATTTCTCATTTTGTAAGGTTGGATAGGGTGAAGGGCACCGTCACTTTTGAAGCTTCTTAGTTTCTTTTATTCTGCTGAGAAAAAAAGGAAGTTTCTGTGCAGACCTCTGTCTCTTTTATATTTGTTCACGTCTGAAAGTTTTGAAAATGAAAAGCTGTTTTCATGCACCCTTTGTAGTGTGAAAAAAAAAAGAAAGTCAAACAAACAGTGTTATCAGATTTCTCACCTGAGTCCCAGCGGCTGCTTTTATAGCAAGGTAAATCATTGATAATTCTCTGGATGGGAAAATTTAATAACCAGCGGGCTCTTTATTATCACGGATCATGTCAGATCAACCCTCAACGTGCACAGAATCTCTGAATTCATCTGGGTTTTTTAAGGGAAAGAAAAGTCAACTTTATACTAGAAACTGCTGCAATTAAGCTGAACTTTAGAGTGTTCTGACGCACTTCAATTTTTAGATGTAATTGAGTGTACTGCTGAATGCACTGAACAAGCTTTTACTGTCATTTCTACTGAAACATGCATGTGAGGAATTTAACTATATTTGTAATACACGTGCAATGATGAAATTGCAATTTAGTACATTTAAATCAAATGCAATATCAAATAACACTACAGTTAAATTGTAAGTACTTTAGAATGTTATTTAGTGAACACATCAAAATAAGTGTATTTCTATAAAGCATGATGATTATTAAAACAAAATGATTTAAAATGTACTTTAAAGTAAGTCTTTTAAATCCGATATTGTTAGAAATTGCACTTTTAAAAGTGTAATTAAATGTGTTAAGAAACAGTCATTAAAGTGTCTATCTTTAAATACTATTAAGTGACCTTTTCATTCATTAATATTATATCATCTATATGTATATTTTTAATGTAGGCCTATTTTAATGATCTAAAGTACTTCAAAGTACTTGAATTACTACTTCAAAGTGCATTACAAGAAGCACACTTCTTTTTCAAAAGGAGAAACAGGAAGTTCGGGAGACTTTGTTTACATTTATTATGATAGACTAAATGTAGGCCTATTTTAATGATCTAAAGTACTTCAAAGTACTTGAAGTACTACTTCAAAGTGCATTACAAGAAGCACACTTCTTTTTCAAGAAGACTTTGTTTACATTTATTATGATAGACTTCTGTCTAAAAATATCATTAATGTTAACACATTATCTTTTGAAAGGTCTAAGGGTTTAGTGTTAATATATGGTCTCTGTTTTATGATTTAGATGCTCCAGCAACAGTAATATAGTCATTTGTGTTGGGAGTGTAAAAGAAAACATGAAACAGCACTTTATACCTTTATGAAGAAAAACAAGTAGAACTAATTTTGATGAGAACCGTGATTTGCAATTTGTTAATGCAACTAGTTGGTATTTAGAGGAAGGAGCAATGCATATGCCACTATGGATAGGATGAATCCCTTCTTTGGATTTTGCTAAGAAGTTGACTGGCATGTAGACATGGACTAAAAGTTCCAAAAGTTTGAGTCTTCCAGACAGAAGTAGTTTCGGTGTTGTTCCTCTTCTGTGTTGATGCCAGCTTTGTGATGTGTGTCTCAGATGCTGTCTGTCTGATGCAGAGGATTGATCTACATTTGTTAGATATGGAAGATAAATATTCCAAAACGCCTCCGTTTGTGCTGTTGTTGTTCGCTAAGTGTTCTCCAGATTCATGGCTGGTTTTACGGTATTTAGCGGTTAGTTAAGGAAATGCTAGGAAAGGCCAGCGTGTCTCCTCTAAACAGTAATTACTCTCTCTGGGTTTATTCCGGCGGTGGTTAATTGGCTCGTCAGCGGCGGTGAAGCAGAGGCACTGATTGACAGATGTCTCTCAGGCTGTGTGACCTTTCCCAGGATGCAGTGGGAAGGGATTATTAGGTGACCAGCTGCTGTTCTCCCAGCAGGATTGTTCCCAGCGGCCCGACTGTCATGAGATCAGCCACGAGGTTACGCAGCACGCAGTAATCTGACGAATCCTTGTGCCAATGTCTCCGGTGGCTGCACTCTGTCCCGAGTGTACTGCAGTGCGTGAATCCACAGCAATATTAGCATTCATTCATTCATTTACTATGCACAAATATTACTTGGGTATTCTAATATAATAATACATTTAATTTATCCTTATATATTTTAATGTACATGTACTTTATGCATAAAATATTTGAGCTTTGTGGCCTATTATTCATGTGCGGATCTAATTATTTAATTATTATTATTTTTTTTGTTTTTTTGAGCGATTTTTGGATCTACGCACCGCCAGAAGTGTATGTCTCTTTTTTGAATTGGACCTGTGTCTGGCGCTACGCTTTTTCAGTTTCTTCTTCTAATATACATATACTTTAAATTATTTTAAATGGAAATACTATATAATTTGATCAACTTTTATTATTAATTAAATTATTACAGTAAGTATTATGTAACTTTTCAGTTCAATATATTCTATATATTACCTCTTATATAGTCTTAGCTTGATAGTATAATGATAATAATAATAATAATGTATACTTCTATGTACTTTTATACTTATTAATAATTAAATTATTACAGTAAGTAGTAATTATTCAATAACTATATATTCTATATATCATCAATTATGTACTATTTTGTATCATTACAACAACAACAACAACAACAATAATAATAGTAAATATATTGTTACATATTCTTATTATAAAAATATGATGCATTATTTGAAATATAAACACTGTATACTTTTATGTACATTATACATTTATTAATCATTACTACATTTTAAATATAAATTATATAAGTATGTATATTGGTTAATGTAAAATGGTTAAATATTATGCATTATGATTTGTAAATGCTGTATGATTTTATGTACTTTTATTAATAATTAAATTGTTACATTATACGTATGAATACTTATTCAGCAACTTTTCAGTTAACATAATAAACAAAAAAAAAAGCATGTCCTGGCAGAAAATGAACAGTACATTTTCCGTTAAGTTTACAGACATTTCCTTCAGCAATAAAACACAACCCAATGCAATGCGTAATTCAAAAACAATCAATATGAAAAGCTCCATAATAAAACATATACCCTATTTGTCATTTGTTATATTTGTTTTGCTTGAACAAAGAGAACAATCAAATAAGAGAGAAACTAAAAAGCGATGTGGGAATGTTTGTTTTATGACACTGGAAAATGTCTTTCTGTGACAGTTCTGTTCAGCTCCTTTCACTCCTGAACGTCCTGACGCACTGAATGTGAAACTGCTTTTGCCAGATTCACATAAATGTTTCATATATTACTGACTCTATTTTCTGCAGTGTGCACAAAAACCCCAGAAGATGCGTTTGTGCAATTCATATCACATTTCTGAAAATAAATCTGAGCTAAACTAAGTTAGCAACAACCTGCAACTAAAAGATATACTAGTTTTAACGATTTGTTCTCCAGGCTGAAAGAATAAACAAACGTTTATTAAACTATAAGTTACATCTTAAACAGAGAGTGCCGTTTACCGAGTCTTCTCTCCTTTTTAAAATGAAAATAAAATGCTTATTTCAGAAAGCAGAGTTATAAGCCTTGTCGCAAACGTACCTGCTTGACATCTGATTGCATGCAAATCACCCTGCGTATATTTTCAATAGGGAGTTTGGAGCTTCACACTGCTTTGCATATCACTTAGAAGCAAGCCTTTGTGAAATACGTTGTAATATTTGTTGTCGTGCCTCTGGAATAAATTGCATACTTTCATTGGTGTTTGGCTGCGAGGGCTGTAATCTCAGTAAACGGAGTAATGCGTTCACATTCAGACCGTCACATCACTCCATCTGAAAGGCCCGACTCCCTCCGTGAATCAAAACAAAGCCCAAACTAACATTTGCATTTCTAAATGAAAGCTAATAGAAGTTTCATAGTGTCAGGCTCCTGGAATAAACAGTCCTTGAGCGAGCGTCGGCTTTAGCTCGTTATAAAGAGATGCGTGGGATTGCGTAAGAGGAAAAAGTTTTATCACAGATTTTCCCAGAGTTGTTCTCTTGGACGTTTAAGTGCTTATTCTCTTAAAGAAGTGGCGCAGAGGGAAAGTGATTCCATCTCTTTGTAGATAACACTGGAGAAGAGGATTTCCTGTCTAAAATGCACAGAACAGGAAGTGGATAAGGCTCAGCGAGGGTCTGTTCAGATTCGCCACTGAGGCCTGTATCCACAGTAGAGTAGAGGAAAGAGCATGCACATGTACAGCTCATATTCCACTTGTTTATCCCAAATCAAAAGAAACCGATAATAATCTTATATTCTGACATTATTTTAGCATATGTTTCCCCCCCCATGTCAATTATGCACAGCAGTCACCCATTCTCATCAATGTAAAAAAGGGTGGAAAAAAACTTTATTTTTTAAATATGTATGTATTTTATTTTATTTTATTTTATTTTATTTTATTTTATTTTATTTTATTTTACCTGGATAAGTTTCAATGTGATTATTTTATTATCAGATAATACAGCATATTTAATTAGTTTATTATGGTAATAATAAGGTAAAATCAACCACAGTTGACTATTTTATTTTATTTTATTTTATTTATTTATTTTTTAAATTTTTTATTTTATTTTATTATTTTTATTTTTATTTTTTTTATTTTTTTTTATTTTACCTGGATATGTTCCAATGTGATTATTTTATTATCAGATAATACAGCATATTTAATTAGTTTATTATGGTAATAATAAGGTAAAATCAACCACAGTTGACTATTTTATTTTATTTTATTTTATTTATTTATTTTTTAAATTTTTTATTTTATTTTATTATTTTTATTTTTATTTTTTTTATTTTTTTTTATTTTACCTGGATATGTTCCAATGTGATTATTTTATTATCAGATAATACAGCATATTTAATTAGTTTATTATGGTAATAATAAGGTAAAATCAACTACAGTTGACCTTTATTTTATTTTATTTTATTTTATTTTAAATTACTGTGGATATGTTTGCATGAAATAATTTTATTTTCCGATACTCAAAGTAATAATTTGAAATTCTATAA